TGAAACGCATGGTGAACTAAGGAGGAAGCAGTGAAAAAAAAAACTCCTACCAGGAGCCATCTTCGGGACCACTCGTTTGATCGACAAAGATTTCCCTGGAAGTCAGCTTCATCGGCTGCATTATTGATGACTTTCCATATTTTATATCATCGGCAAACATGGCACAATCATAGTCTTATTCCTGTCCACAATCCTTAACGAACGAGAGAATAAGGGGCTGCCCATCAAGGAGGTATTGGAACTGATCATTGTACTCGGTCTTGGGACCACACACTTACCAACGCTAATATTTAAAGTCTCTTGACTCCGTTTAATTGCGCGCCTGTCAACATCAGATCTTAGTTCTCTCCCCGGTTTACCATAAATAAATTCTTATTCTAAGTGCCCAAACTGTACTATCCTGGTTTATTCAGTGTACAAATTTTCCTGGAATACTCTGATGAAGAAAATATAGGACAGTCGCTTGAGAACCGAAATACATAAATGTAATCCTAATGATAATAGGTAGAACAAATAAATACTCTCGGACGCCTAAAGAGAAGGAAGAAATTACAAAAAATTGAGAATGTACAAATAACAGGTTGAAAGAATGACCAGGAGAGAATTAATCGAAACAAGTCAATCCATAAGAAAATGATATAAACAAAATGATACAACACCGAAATGGAATGCGAATTTAGGCTAATTGATATGGGCGGATCGCCAAAATTATCCAGTCCGACTTGTAGTGTTCAACGGGCGGGATTGAGTGAAGCTAATGTGTCGTTCTTGGCCGGAGATATTTCCTTTTCTTTCTAAACTGATTTTACCTTAACGGCTCTGAAATTGATGTATTAAATAATAAACTCGCAAATTCAGACGTATCTAAATTAAGCATTTCACAAAAAGATGAAAGAGAAATTCTCGCGTTTAGAAAGTAAATGGCAACTGCGTACGTAAATATAAGTAAAGTGGTAGTTGAAAAAGTAATGAGTTATACTAGAATCTGGGACAAAAAAGAGTGGTATAGAAGCGCACATACAGGTGAGAGATGGTGTAGCTAGGCAAGAAAGCATAAACTAAAAAATATGAAAAAGAGAAACGATACAATGTACGAAGAACATAACGTATACTGACCTTGTCGATTACCCAGGTCAGTAGATTGACCAGATCTATGCGTATTATTTGGTCTTGCGCGCTATTAAAAGGATTTTTTAACTTGGTTATTAACACAAAAAAGGCCTTTCTGTTCCATTCGGTTGTTGCAGACTTGCGTAAATCGGTTACGATCCGTAATAAAAATTGAAATTCATCCGTTAAAACAAAGACGAGCCGATTGGGTACATGTGAACGTTACAGTTGGTAACATGGTTGCGCCTGCAATATTTAGTTTCCGGTTGCAGCATGTCTGCCGTGGGCGCGTAAGTACTCGTGACATTGATATGTTTTGACCAACCTATGGCTTAAGTGCTATAGATTCCCCTTTTATCTCTGTAACAACCTTATTTTTAAATGGTCAATCCTTTGTTAGTGGAACTCGTACCCGTTTTGTTGCTATCCTGATTAACGACTTTGAATGGTACGTAGCAAAACGTTTTGCGGTCCCATTAGCTTGGAAGTATGTTGTACAAGTGGGTTGACCGGTCTGCTAACGTTCCCGAACGTACACGTTGACTGCTGCATTCATCATCTGATCAAACTCCTAACTGTCTCAGTGGTCCAGTAATATTCGTTGATAAAATCTTGTCACCAATCAAGCGTTCAGTCGGCTGATTCCTTGATTACACCAGTCGTTTATTGTTAGCCACATTGACGCTTTTTCCTCAGTCCGTGGCTGCTTTTGTGGTTGGTAGACTTGCCGATAATTTCTATGAAAATCAGTCTCATGAGACTGATGCCTCTAGAGGCATCTGGGGCATGCCGAGCACGGCCAAATGGGTTTGTATGCCTTGCGAGTGTCCCATTGTCTGACAAGAGGACTTGCTGAACGAATTAGACCGCGGAGTACTTAGCAATCAGTAGATATGCTGGCGGTGCAAATTGTTCCGTCGTAACCAGTGGTAAGTACCTACACGTTCGACAAAATCGGCTCCTCTAGTATATGACAAGAACAATTTTCTCAGAATCGATATCCTCTTATCACCTGCACATTAGTGTGCCTAAGTCTACAAACTATTGGTGTGCCTACTTCGTCTTTTTATACTTCTTGTTTAGGATTAGAAGGAATAAGGAGTAATACCAGGACCGTGAGTGGAAACAAATAGCGTCAAGATTTTTCGTCTAAATTGTTCATTGCATTTGTTAATTCATATATGGTATTTATTTAGAAAGATGGGAAATTACAAAACAAAAGAAACCAAAATTGTTTCACACCAAATGAATACTAACTAGACCCGATTTTGATAGCGTACGTTTCCTGAAACCTAGCGACTAGAGCTTCCCTGGTTGTTTCCCGTTTGATAATCTTTGTCATTTTGAAAATGTCATCCGTACCCTAATTGTTCTGTTTGTGTACTTGTAAAGTCAGTTTCCTGATATTTGTTTGTAGCTTGACTTCGGCTAGAAATGGCTCTCTGCCTGCGGACGAAGTTATCTACGATAAAGAAAAAGGCACTAAGACTGTGATCTCCTATGTCGATGACGAAGATGAGGGCCAAATATACAAGGAGACCAAAGAGTATACCATAGAAACCATAAAAGTGGCCTCTTCGATTGCAAAAAGGCGTTCATGGAAAAAGTTTGGTGAATCTAAAAACGACCCTCCCGGCCCAAACCCTGCAAATACTTACCCCGGAGAGTTGGTTGAAATTCAATATATTCAAAACAAATTGGTACGTCTTAACGTTAACGTTCCACTCACTATCAGGATTTTATCCATGGTCAAATATTCTTCACGTTTTACCTTTCGTTTTCAGTTGTTCCATATTCCTGGCTTACATGATTTTTCTTACCATTCACTACAGCCTGAATTGTAGCGTTCCTCAGTTTTGCTTGTAGGCAGTAATACTTGACTCCTCACATATAACTTTTTTTCTCCAAGTCAGTGCCTAGGTTTTGTTCGGATTGAAACAATACGCGTGTGGTTTAGTTAGAAAATTTCTATAACCCGAAACACGCATTTAATCTGTTATTTCCATAGCTCCTCCCTTTACGTTCTGCGAAACGTATGAAGCTAGTTCACATACGTTGAAATCGCCAATCGGTTTTGTTAATTCTCCCTACCAATTGGTTCAGTTCTTAATACTTTCTCTTTCTCCACAAAACAGGAAGACGACCGTTTGGAGAAAGAAATTGCAAAACCCAAGCAAGCTGTCACTTGTCGTACCTGCAAGGGCCCTCATTTCTCTCACCAGTGTCCAAACAAGAGCGATCTCGAGGCAATTCTGGCGTTGCAGAGCAAATTTCAAGATCCTGCTGTCGCCGAGGCCGAGGAGAAAGCCAGAGTGGGTTTTCTTATTTGTCGATTAGAGTGTTATATAACCCGATAAAGTATGATCTTTCAGCAAATCTTAAGTTGCTGAGTTTTCACCTCTTTTTAGTTTCCTCATCCCAGTTTTCCTTGACTTTGATTACCTTTCGCATTTAAGCTCGCAGCTGCTGGTCCACTTCCCGTCATTCCCGACGCCTCAAGTGGTCGTTACATCCCTCCGGCATTGCGTGCCGGTGCTGCTCCGATGGCATTGCCGACCCGAAAACTCCTCGATGGTTACAGTATCCGTGTTACTAACCTACCAGAGAACACAAATGAAGACGATCTGCGTGACATCTTTAGTCGTTTTGGTCAGGTTATCCGCATCTATCCTGCCAAGAACAAGAAGACCCAGATGAACAGAGTAAGTTCTAGATGGCAAACAGGGAGTGTAACTGTTTGACCTGTTGCTATACTAGCCTTCTCCGATCTGCTCAACTGTAGTCCAGTTGATTTGGCAGAAGCGATAAAGGCTTAAACAAATAAACGGACCTCAGAGTTCAGACAGGCAAGCAATCTGCCTGAATGCCGGTTATCGATAACATTCTGTTTTTTTCAAATGTAATATTACAGGCTCCCAAGTGTCCTCCATACTAAGTTGCGATTACAATAGCATTATTTTAGCTTCGTTTTTTGGAGTTTTCTAGTGTTTTCACTGGAGGATCTCTCCTATACTAGCCTTCTTCGATCTGTTCAACTGTAGCTTAGTTGATTTGCAGAAGCGATAAAGGCTTACATAAAAAAATCCGGGCCTCAGAGTTCAGACAGGCAAGTAATCTGTCTGAATGCCGGTTACCGGTGACATTCTATCCTTTTATTTCAACTGTGGTATTGCAGGCTCCCTAAATCTAGAGAATATCTCCTATCTCTCAGCTATAATTGTATTATTATAACATAACCTTTTTGGGGCTTTGTACCGTTCGCACTGGTGACTTCTTTCCAAAGACATTCAGATAACTCGATGTAGAGGAAACCCTCAGTTCAGCACCCGAGAGTAGTGTGTGCAATGCTTAGCTAATCAGCAAAAAGTGCCACTAAAATCCTTTTTACGCAGCTTATTGGCAAATGTCTACCCGGTGGGTACCTCCTTTTTGCTTTTTCGTAAGGCAGTGTTCGCGTTTGTTAGCCCTTTACAGAAGTCGTCGGTGTAAGCGTTTAGGGCACAGGGGAAATCCACCGACTGACATATCTACTTTAATGCGGTTGCCGTTAAGCTTATACTAAAATAAGGTATTCCATAGACGGATGGCTGAGGCTAAAGGTGTGAGGCACTGTGTGATTCAAGGCTTGCATTATAAGTTTAATTTACCCGTAACTTTGGGTTTTTGTTCATCATCTCACCTGATCTCTTTACCCTGTCCCTTTTCCTAGGGTTTTGCTTACATTTCCTATTTGACGGAAGAGGAAGCCGCAGAAGCCATTTTCACCGCCGATGGTATGCGTTATGGCCACCTTATCCTCAAAGTCGACTGGGCTCAGTAAGTTTTCATTAAGGTTTTACAATTTTTGCATATCCTTTACCCTTACGTCGATAAGTGGATTATTTTTTGACTTTTCTGCATCATAACAGGGCAAAATTAAGATTATACTACTAAGGAAATAAGTTAGTGATTGGCAGTCAGCGCCTGTTTAATTCTTTGCGTTTGCATAGCCCGGACGGTGAATATTTTGGTAAAAAATACTAAATTCTGACGCTTACTGTGTACTCTTATTGCGACACTTGGAGCCCGTGAACTTACCGTTGATGGAAGAATCTGAAAGCCAAGCAAGACTGAGATGACGACTTTTGGCTTATTAGCCGTTATCAGCCAGTCATATCCAACCCCAAGTGGTACATCACCCGAGGCTCGAACCCGCGACCTTTTGCTCAGAAGTCTCACGTTCTATCGATTGAGCCTTGGGCTCCTCTTGCCAGTATAGATTAGGAAGTATTGACATTCGTTGATGAAGGTTCACCAATCGTTAAAGGAACTCAACCGTCTAGGCAGATGGCATTGCCAACAGAGACAAGCAAGACTGGAACGGTCGCTTCTGCCTCATTAGCCGTTGTTAGCCGGTCATACCCAACTCCAGTTGGTGCACTACCCGAGGCTTAAACCCGCAACTCGGAAGTCGAACGCTCTAACCAGTCCTATCTGCCTACTATACCAGCCGCTGTGTGGCTACTAGCGTGGCTTGAGAATGAGCCCCAAGACAGAGCGAGACGAGTGAGTTCCGTTAGCGATCGGTGAGCGTTCATCAACGATAACAGTTACTTTTCTTGGTCCTGAGGCGCCATTTTGAGTTCGATTAACGTTGTGTAGCAGCCGCTGCGCATAAGCACGCACCCGGTAACCAGAGATGGCCATTACAGTCTCCCTTTTGATCCTTGGCAATACTATCTGCCTAGAGTACTAGCCGCTGTGTGGCTGCTGGCGGGGATCGAGAATGAGTCCCAAGACAGCGGGATGAGTGAGTTCCGTTAACAATCGGTGCATCAGAAAGCCTATCCGGCCCGCAGCATTCTGTTGCGTTGCACAAGCGTCTAGCGATTTTTGAAGACTAAAAACGTCTCGGACGTTGCTGCCTTCGCATAACTTGCAAGTACACGTGCACGCCGGCCATCACGATTACGCTCCTTATAGAACCATCCTTGCGCATTTTGCTTCCTCCACAAGTGCTATCACCTTGATTGAATAACACCGACAGTAGAAGTGTTATCGAAAGGTCTTATTTCCCTGCGTGACCGACTAGGAGCCATAGATAAATGAACCGAGCTATTTTTGCATCTATACAGCATCGGGCTTCCCGGTGGAATGTATGCGAATAATTGATCTCCATGGAGCTCGGTTGACTGTCTTGCAGTCACGTTTACTTCGGTCACCAAAATATCTGTTTATATCGAGCATGCATATTTTCAAGCTTCATCTACTGAAAACTGGTTTTCAACCAGAACCTTCATTCGAGTGACGTATGTCGGATTTCATCGTGAAGGAAACAGTGCGCACTCGCTGACACACAACCGCAATTATATCTTAGGCCACTCCAACCACTGGGCCGTTGGGTAATCATTTCAGTCCACGAAACGAGACTCAACTTGGAACCTAACCTGATATCACAACATTAACCCGCTTCATAGATCTGAAATTGTGGAGGAGCAAGTCAAGCCCACTAAGTTCGTTGTCTGGGATGATGGCACAATCCGTCGCATTTCTCAGAAAAGCCAGATGAGGGTGGTAACTGCCATATCAGGCGTATGGAATCAACACCCGCATGACCGTCATTTCTGCTGGAACCGCTTTAAGCAAAAAAAAACTCAGGCTGGCGACCGTAAGGGGAAACTGACGGGCCATGTCGTTTAGTAAGCTTGACTTCCTGCTGAAACCAATGTCACTTAGACAAACAGTAATATTCCCAACAATATGAGCGACGACGCGTATAAACTGCCAGGGCACTGGCTAAAACTAGCCTGGCTATCGTCCTTATCTCTACGGGAGGCTGTCTGCTGGGTGGATACACTGGATGCGCACACATTTTTGTTTACGTGGTTTTGCTTACATTTTATCGCGCTTATATTTTGATGCACTTATAAAATCACATTCAATTTCTACCTTTAGACCATCACAAACCTGAACATCCGGTGCTTCCGCGTTCTCCTCCCTATCTTGTATGCCCTCATCTTTCTGTGAATAAAATGCTGCATCCTCTTGGCGCATCAACGAAAGCCCTGCGAGGGGGCAGTTTCGTTTTTGACATCTCATTACCACCCCCATGGTGTTGCATTTCACCTTAGTGCATCCCCTGCTTCCGCGGGTCCTCGCAATACAGGAGTTACAACATGAACCAGAAGAAGAATCCGGCAGTGTAGTATTGGAACAGCCCTCTCATCCAATTGATTCACATAGAGAGGAATGCAAAAAGAAAACGGGAATCGGGGTTGGGACAGGGAGAATTCGAACATAATCTCAGTAAGCCGGCTGGGGGCGGCTTCTATGGTTACCGGTGGTAGGGGGGCGCGTTCCAGGCACACACACATACACAAGCAGAGGTTATTTCACCCTAATGCGGGCCGAGGAGTTGGGGGTAGTCGTGGCGCGAGGGTGAACTAACAGTGTCTCTGCCCTCTTGTCGTTGTTCCTATCTGGTCAAATAAAAACGTGCGTATATACAGGGGGATCCGGGAGCATGTTGCACGGGACAGGGATTGTTGACAGAACAAAAGTACTTTTTTTTCACAACCGCGGGGATGTGGTGCCACCAGGGTCCCCGTCTGACTGCACTAAGGCACGTGGTTTATACAAATCCGGTTCAGGTGTTGACTGTCCGGTGAAGGTGGAGGTGGGGCGGGCTATAGTGTTCGACTACGTGGGGAGAGGGGGATGAGTGTCATGAATTTGGATAAATATGGTCATCGCACAGTTGATTGACTGGTTTGTTGTGTGTTTCTGCCCTGACTTCAGGTTGGGGTGATTTCGTTCTAAAACGGAAGGGAAGGACAGTAATTTAAGCGTGGAGATCTATAGGCAACTTCAAGACTCCTGAAACCGTCCGAGATTGGCACGGCCCATAGAACGACACGAACGATCAGACAATGGGTTATGAAGCTCAAGGATCCGCTACCAGTGGCTGAACAATCGGCGGTGGTCTACAGCGTCCCTTGCCAAGATTGTGAAGCAAGGTATGTCGGTGGAATGGGAAAACGTCTTGGCACGAGGCTGCATGAGCACCAGGTCGCAATCAGTCGCAAGGACGAGCTTTCTATAGTGTACGGCCAAGTGCAACAGGGGAGCCACGTTTTCGCTTTTGAGAAAGCAAGGGCGATCGGCAGGGCCAGTGATAAGATGGCCAGACTAGTGCTCGAAAGCTGGTCG